GTTCATCCTGTCAAATCAAAATCAGAGATTGATCTTATTAATGAAATGTTAGAATTTTTTAATCAAAGATCATATTTTATTACCCAAAGCACAAAAAATGATAATGCCTATTATTTTTTTGGATTGGAACGTTTCATTCGAGTTGCACGGTATTCATCACATTGTTTTATTGATGGAACCTTCAAAGTCGTTCCTGTATCAATAATGAATGGCCAATTATTAAATTTGTTAATTTTTGACCAAGCAACTCAACTGTATCTACCGTTTTTACATATAATCATGACGGGAAGAACAGAAACTGATTATCAAAGAGTATTTAGTATTATGGAGTATGATACTGATATTAAAATTCCTTTATCAACATTTGATGTTATAACAACTGATTTCGAAAAAGCACTTCAAGGCTCAATTTATAAAAGAAAAGGAGAGCAAACCATATTGACTGGATGCATATATCACTTTATTGCAGCATTAGTTAAGAATTTCAAGAAAAAATGTGATCCAGAAGATCTTAACAATAAAATTCTTTTAAAGTTATTATGCGCTTCTCCATTCATGCCAGAAGAAGTTTTTGATTTGGTTTGTAATAAAATTAAATGCATTCAAGATACAAATGAATTTGCAAAATACTTTATTAAAACATGGAGCACAAGCTATAATTCAATCAGCAAGCTCAAAGTATTCGACAATATTTATTCTAATAATGGCGTAGAATCGTACAACAAAGTGTTAAATACAAATATTGTATATTCACATCCCACAATTTTAAAGACGGTACACACTTTAATGAAAGTGGATTTAGCGATTTTGCATCGATATGCACGGGCAGATAAAAACACAAGTGATCATAAACAGTCGTATTTCATTAAATTGAAAAAAATAAATGAAGAGATTCAGTTATTTGAAGAGCATTTTGGTCTGGAAATATCATTAATTCCTGAGGATATAATGAAAAAATATAAGGATTTGTCCAAACATTCTGGAATTGATTTCAGAGATATTGAAATTGAAAGGTATATGTCAAGTGATCAAATACTTGATGACATTCAAATAAATTTAGAAGAAACAAAAAATGAAAAGATAGAAAACATTGAAATTGCCGAAGATGATTTATTTCAATAATATGTAACATTGATTTCTATTCAACTTTATCGTTATTATAATAAACATTTTTATGATTTTTTTAATATTTTTTATAAGTAGATTGAAGATTATTTGATGGAAAGATGTATATATATATACATAATGTACCTTACAATATCTTCATGCTATGAATTCCAGAATAATGACAAGTCTTTCATTCTTAATTAGAAGTCTCCAATATTTTGTCTATTTTTTCATATTTTTTCTATTTTTTTCACCATTTAAAATTTCTTAAATTCTAAATATAGCAAATTATATCATTTTACTTTCTGCAACGATTTAATCGATAATTATATGAATATTATTGTAAATATTTCTAAAATATTTTAAATACAAATAATTTTAAACTGAACCAAATAAATTGGATAACTTTAACTCAATCAAATAAATATTAATATGAATTTTTATAGAAAAGCTTTATTTTTTTCTCAATTTTTAATTTCATTTCAGTCTCTAAACTTTCTTACTATGTAAAAACGTATTATTATAGTAATAAAATAAAATACATGTTTATTCGATCTCGTATTTCAAAAAAATAAAATTACTTATATAAAAAGATTCTCTTTAGTCAACTTTCTTTTTGAATCTCTAATAAGTTTTTACTGTTGCTTCTATATATTAAGTATTGATTCTTGTAGTAAAGAAAATCCGGAACGTTTATTTATTAGAATACTCGAACTTTGACTTACATATTACTAATTGTAATTATTTTCAAGAGCTATTTCTATTACTCCTACTTGTTCGGCTTAAAATCTGCTATATTGTTAAGATAAACTAAGTCTAAATTTTGAACCATTTTTTGAAGTTTAAAGTGTAATACATATCGATTTTTTATCCGAATTTAAGAATTGCTTCAAAGTTTTAGCGTGAAATCGTGCATTTTTTCTAATGAAATTGTTATTATAAGATAAGCAATCTGAGTTTTTTTGAATAATATGTCACTACACATGATAGAGCGTTACGTGCTGAAAAGTTACGCTTCGTTCTGAAAGTGGTAATGAAGTTTTATTAGAATTCATCAAAAAAACGTATGAAAATAATCGTATGTCAAAATGTGAGCACTTCTCAAAATTTGCTCACATTTTGACTATTTTTGTGAGATCTTCCTCACAATTTTTTGACAAACGTACAAAAAAGTGCCAAAATGTGAGCAAATGTGAGCAATTTTTATATCTCAAAATTATAAATTTATTTTTGATTAAATGGATTTAAATTCATCCACTCCTTATGAAGAATTAGCACGAGTATATAATACATACATAGATGATATGATTAATGAAGCATTGAGTGATAATAGAAATGCTCTATCTAAGGAAAAATTAATGAAAATTCCATATTCTGAATGTTACTTAAATTCAATCACTGCAGCAATTGGTAAACAAAATAAAGGTAAAACATTAACGATATTAAAACAAATTATCATTATTGCTAACACTTCCCCTATTCACATGTGTTAATTTATATCAACCGTTCAGGTTCACCTTCAGATGATACATTTGAATCTTTAAAGCATTTAATCAAAATTCCAATTATTTCTTTATCACAAGAAGAAGCAGAAGATTATTTAAAAAACTTTTTAATGTATAAAGAATTATATAATACAATCAAGAAGCAAGGATTAGAGGATAAAATTATTGATAAACAACGGGATGAATTATTTGAAACACTTTCTATTTCAAATTTTGATAGAGAATTTTTGCATTCACTCATTTTTCTAGATGATGCAGTGAAATCAAAACTAATAACAAATGAGAAATCATATTTTAATCAGTTATTAACTCAATGTCGACACATTCAGTGTTCATTCTTCATGGCTGTTCAATACTTCAAAGCATTAAGCACAAACATTAAATCAAATCTATCAACCCTTTTCATTTTCAGTGGTTTAGTCGTCAACAGTTGAACGTTATGCTTTATCAAGTGAATTTACCAATGAGCATTAATGAACTTTACACACAATATCAGCAATTAGGTGAACATGGGAAAATAATAGTTGATTTAAATAAAGGAGGTGTTAAATTTGATTAACTTTTTATAATTAATTTTTATTTTTTATTTATAATTAAACATGACAGAAATAGCAAATCTTCTACAGGTTCCATTAAAACAAGGAACAAACAAAAAGAGTGCATATAATAGAACTATGAAAGTTCCTGATGGAATGAAAGAATTAGTTCATATTGTTGCTGGTCTTCAAAAAGATGTTAAACAAATGAGAAACGTTTTAACATTACCAGAAGCTCAAGCATATGCCAAACGTCAAGGTCCAAATTGGGAAGCACACGAAGCAGACATTACGGGTCCAAATGGAAAACCTGATGGTATAAATGAAGTTTTCATTACTGATGGTCAAGGAAATATTAAAGTCATAAATGGTTACAAATTAACTATGACTGATTATCCTAAACGTAAAGCATATAATGAGCGTTATCCTATGCAATTTGATGAAAATGGAAAAGCTGTTAAACAATACATTGGAGAAGGTGAAAATGGTCCAATTAATTCATACCGTCATAATCCATATTCTTATTTCAATGAAGAATTAAATGCTATTGAAGAGGGACCGGATGGATTACCACGATATTCTAACCAGTTTGATGGTCAATATGCAAATATTAGACCCGAAATTTCAGCTAAGAAATTCTTTAAAGTTGCTTTATTCGATCCAGTTTTCGCAAATGTTAAAGATGAACTTAAACATCAATTCCAACCAATTATAGTAGCAAGAATTGCATCAGGTGCTTTATCTCAAGCATTCAAAGATTTAATTAAGAAACCATTATATCAGCAACGAGGTTTAACTTATGATTTAGTTAAGGAATCAGATAAAAGAAAATTTGAGAAATCAGATGATTATAAGAATGCAATTAATGAATATATTAGGTCTATTAATTACAATGAACCAGCTAAAAATCAACTTCATGAACAAATACAGGGAATAATAGATTCAAAACTTCCAGCAAAATAAAAGTTTAAATATATTTTTTTATTCGATTATAAATGAGAAGACGTTTCACTAGTCAAAAGAACACTAACGCAAAAGCAGAGATTACGGTTGGTTATAACGTAAATGATGATAAATCACGAATTATTCAAAATGTTAAAGTTAATGTTAGCCCTGAATTAACAAGGTCAGCAACTCAACCAAATTTATTAACTCGTGACTTACCGAAAAAGGAGGAGGAGCAAAATAAAGAAGATGGAGACCCAATCATTTTATCTGAACCCGGTAAAGAACCTGTTGAAATTCCCACTTATCCAACATACCCCCACCTCTTTCATCAAACATCGAGAACCCATATAAAATAGACATTAATTCTGAATTAATGAAAATTTACCGTGATATAATAATTAATAATTATGATTCAATAATAAATTTAATTGATCAATCCGGTTTAATTATTTTACCTTATGAATCATTAATTCACATTATCGCCATTCTTTGTGATGTTCAAGATTCAGACGTTAAGATTCAATTTTTCATAGAT